AAAAAAATAATTTTTGCCCAAAGTATTTGGGCAATTTCGGCTACTAATAGAAGCAGTTTCGACCAGAAACCTTAGTTCATGATGGAGTCAATGTGTTTTTTGGGTAAAGGAAATTGATGGATCTTAAGTATTTATATTTTATCTATCTTTAAATTGGCTATTGAGATTTGTTGTTATGTGGTTCTAAGGTTGTGGGCAAAACTCCTCCAGAAGTCAATTGACAGAGTTTCAACAGGTTACACATTAATTGTTTATTAGAGTTTCAGCAGAGTTTCACATTTGGGAGTTTGATCAATCATCAGAGTTTTGACAAGGTATATACTAATTGTTCATTAGAGTTTTGACAGAGTTTTGACAGCTACTAAGAGGTTTCAGCAAGCAACCTTATGTGGTTCTGACATATTGCTGTGCAGCAGAGAGAAATTGTCCTGATGACTTTCATTTGTCCAATTCATTCCTCAAGGTTGATATTGAGTGTAGAGGGTAGCTCAACTGTCATTTATAATGGGTTCTTTGGTGGCATCAATGGTATGTAGTTACAGCTTGGAAACATTGCCACATATACTTAAAGCACCTTTGCTTGTGTTAAAAAGAAATTAATCACCAAGGGCCATATGATAAAATGCTGTTTGGTTAGCAAAACAATTCAAGTAATTCTTTCAACAGAACTTTGGATTGCAGGCTAAAGGTCTTTATCTTTCTAGACTGTGCATTGTTAGTATTTTGTGCCTTTTCCTGAAACATATTTGGATTCATGATGTTTTGAAATTTACAATGGCTGCTCAAATAACGTGAATGATCAGTCCTCTTAGAAGTTGGACAAGGACATTCTAGATATTTAAAAAAAATATATTAAGTTGTATTCCTAAAAAAATAGAGGCAAATAAATGGTAAATATTTACTTGGTTTTTTTGGTTGCTCTTTGTTAATGTTCCACTTGTTTTTCTTTTATAAAAGATTCTATATTTTTGTGTTTCTATGCAGGAATTTCTATTCTGTCATCATCAAGAACTTTTCATTTGATTCCATGCCATTTGAATTAAAATGGAATTGACAAAATTCTTTAAATAAATTAAATGTAATCAATAAAATGTTGTTTAAATAGAAAAACAACAATTGGTTTATTTAAAACAAGTTTTTTTGTATTACATAGTTTGCTCGAATTAAAATTATTTTAAAAACGGATCAAAGTGACACGTTGCTGATCAATTCAAAAAAAACCTTTTTTTGATTTCTTATAACAGATGACGTTATTATTATTGTTATTTGTCAAAGGAAATCGAAGATTTTTTTACAATGATCAACGTTGATACAGACAAAAAAGGAAAATACATTTTAAAAAAATTATTATGGAAACTACAACAACAGTACCAGTAGAACTTGGCTTTGCAGAACTTTCTGAAGTACCTTTAACATCTGACATATTTCCAAGTAAAATTGGAGGAAAACCAGTTAATCATGTTTTTTTTGAATTATTTAAAATGTACTCATATATGTATATATATATATATATATCATAGTAATAATTTATGATTTATGATAAAATCAAGGCATGGCTAAATCCTAAACATATATTATCATTTGAACAAGTTAAATGTGGTATATGTGAAAGACCAATGATACTGTTGGTTCAAGTAAAATATCTCAATTAATTAATCAATTAATAGATTGATTGGTTGTGTAAATTATATTAAAAAAATCAAAAATTTTTAATTGATGTAGCTTTATGCACCAGAAGATCAAGATCAACTACCAGAAGCATTCCATCGTATGATTTATATTTTTTGTTGTAAGGATGGATCATGTCATAAACAAGATTGGCATAAATGGTTTGTGTGTATTCTGATTATTTATTATTTTTTCTCAAAATTTAAAAAAGCCTTTTTTTTTTTGAAAATAAAGTTTTAAAGTTTATAGAAATCAATTACCAAAAGATAATCCATATTGGCCATATATTGAATTTGATGATGACAGCAGCAATAACAATGACAATGAAAATAATAAGGACAAGAATATTGATGATGATGAATCTTCAAAAAAAGTTTCAAATGATACATTAAATGAAGATGGTAAAAAAATTTTTAAAATTTCTTTTATTCAATTTATGAATATTTATTTTAAGATTTTTTTTTGTTTTTTAATTAGTCAAACAATGTGTGGTTTGTGGATTATTAGGGTCAAAAGAATGTGGGAAGTGTGGAATGAGTTGTTATTGTTCAAGAGAACATCAAATAAA